TTTGATTTTTTGAAAAGTGGACAATTTAGGGCTGGTTGGTGAACTCAGTTGGTTAGAACATGGTGTTATAACACCAGGTCAAGTGCTTCAATCCCCTTACCGGTTTGATTTTTTGAAAAGTGGACAATTTAGGGCTGGTTGGTGAACTCAGTTGGTTAGAACATAGTGTTATAACACCAGGTCAAGTGCTTCAATCCCCTTACCAGCCAGCTGCAAAAAATGAAATTAATAAATCATACATTGTAGGAAACTCTGATTCTGATTCCCACACAGGGCTGTAGATAGTGGTTTTGTTTTGTTTTGTTTGTTTAGTCATTGCTGAACTAACTCTGTAGGGTCTTGTCTCCCCACAGTGTTGCTGTCTCTGTTCTGTTTTATGGTTTTGGTTTTAATTCTTGTTTTTCCTCTTAAGCTGGCTTCCTTGAGGAATTGCCACTGGATCAGCCCAGCTGAGAGCTCAGAGGTTGTGCAGTCCTGTGACAGTGGCTCTGTACTCAAGCAGATGGCAGATTGGACCTACTTTTGCTTCCTGCCTGCAGTCCCTCATGTGTTGTCTCTGTGCACACACATGGCTTCTGTTGAGCTGGGATTCACGGATTGAGCTTTCTGGCTTTCTAGACTCCTAGGAATACATGAAGCCACCTGTGACTCTTTCTGCAAGTTTCCCGTTCAGTTACTGACTAGTTTCCCAATCTGTTGCCCAACCTTAGGCTAGCAGGAGATCTTGACCTTCCCCATTCATTGCACACTTGAGATCCCAACGATGTCCAAGGGCGTGAGGTTTTGTTGCTCAGCCTCACATCAAGCCAGGCCCCCTGCCCCAGCCCCTGGAAGCACAGCTGCCAATTTCCATGGCCTGGCCAGAGCTGGGGGCCCAGGCTGGGAGCAGTCCCAGGTAGCACACTCCACAATCTGCACGGCTCTCACTCTTCTTGAATACTTCTTAATTTGTTGAATTCCTTTGATGTATCTCCAGAGTCTTGAAATGGTTGTTTTGAATAATTTTTATTATTTTTAGGGAGAGGATTTGCCAAGATTCTCACTCTGTCATTTTGGAAGTCCACATTTTTTTGGTTGTTGTTGTTGTAATAGCTTTGATTTTAATAGATTTGGATTTGTTTTAATGCTTACAGAAAACCAGCTCAGCAAACCCATGGTTTTATGGTATGAGGATTTCGGGATGAGGCCAATTTTAAAAAAAAATGAGTCCCTGAAGGGAAAGAAAAAGTACACGTGAAACTTAAACATGGCAGAAGTATTTCTATGGTGATACAGTTTCTTCATGAGTGGCAGCAAAATCCAAGATAATACTGACTTAAATAAGACTTCAGAAGTATAACTTCATCTCTCACATTTTGAAGCCTAGAAGTGGTGCCACACAGTGTCAGAAACCAGCTTCTCTGTTTTGCTGCTGCATTGTGTGTCTTCTGTTGTGTGTATGGTCACCTCATGGCCTAAGGTGGCTGCTGTGGCTCCATCTATCTAACCTAGGTTCCAGCTGTCAGCAAGGAGACAAGGAGGAGAAAGGCCCACCCCACTCCCACCCTTTAGAGATGACTGACACATCACTCACTCGCTTGTGCCTGTTGACCAGAACTCAGTCAAATGCCCACACCTCACTGCAGGGGAAATTGGGAAGTGTAGTGTTTTATTTTTTGGTACCTGTGTGCCCAGCTAAAGTTGCTGGCTCTGTTGTGAAAGGAGGGGGCTGGGTGTGAGGAGCCACATCGAGAAGGGGGCTGCTGAAGATGGTGTAAGTGGAGCATGAGCGCACTGCCTCCTTAAAGGGTTCTCCCCAGTGTTTGGATGTGAAAACTGAGGCACAGGGAAAGGAAGCATTTGCTGCATGGCAGGTCCTGGAACTCAGTACCAGCTTACCTTCCTCCAACATCGATGGTCAAGGGTTTGAATCCTGGCCCTGCCACTCCTAGGCTGTGTGGCCTTAGGCAGCTCTCTGTACCTCTACACTGAGAAGTGAGACCCAAAGGTGCTTGGGGAGGATTCTGCTTCCTTCTCTGGGCATTCCTGAATTTTCTACCTTGACAATTAGAGAGAAAAAAGTGAAGGTACCCAACAGAAAGAGCTTGTTTGGCTGACCATCCACGTGTGTAAAGCCAGGTGTCATGGGGACGTGGAGACACGTGGGCTGTGGTGGGGGTGACAGGTCAAGGCTGCAGGCCCTCTTGGCCCAGTTCTCCCGCACTGCCCTTGGCCTGAGTGTCTGGTCCTCATGTGGACACTTGCCATGATCAGGGGTCTCCACCAGCCTGAAGTCCTGGTGACAGCGGCTTGCTGACCCAGCCCTCCTGGCCTTTGCTCTCAGCACTCTCCATCCAGATGGCCCTTTCTTCTCCATCTCTGCCCTGCCAGCCTGTGCCTGTCTCCCCAGTTTCTCCCAACAACCTGAGGGGCAGTGTACTTCATTCCTCTTTCACAGATGACAGAAGTGGGTCTCAGAGAAGTTGAGCCACTTGCCCAAGGCTACACAGATCTGAGCCCAGTTTTGGGGTGCAAAATAATCCTCAGGGACTAGCACCTACTCCGGGGTCTAGAAGGTTGACATGGCCCCCTGGAAAGGATGGCAGGTTAAGGGCAGGTCTTTGTGTCCCCCAGGAGGCAGGGGAGGCCTCCACAAGACAGGGGTAAGCAGGACCTTAAGACTGGAAAGCTAGAAGGTCAGGGCATGAGAGAGCCCATGAAGTGCCCTGACACTGCCTGGGTAGGGAGTGGGGGGTGGGGGTGGTCAGAAAACACATGGAACATCTTATGTGGCGGGTGGCCTTGGCATTATCTCCCATCCCACACACTTTTCTAGAATCTTGCCATAACCCATCAAGTTACAGAGTCTAATTTCCCTTCCCTTGTGTTTGGGTGGGTTTGGGACTCACTGGCAACCAACAGAGCACAATGGAAGTGACACTATGTGACTGGTAAGGGTGAGTCATAAAACACCACAACTTCTGCCTTTCCTAACAGAGCACAATGGAAGTGACACTATGTGACTGGTAAGGGTGAGTCATAAAACACCACAACTGCCTTTCCTGCAGGAACACTCACACTTGAAATCACAAGCTATCATTTATAACAGCCCAACTGCTCAGAGGCCGCCATTTTGTTAGGAAGCCCAAACATGCTCATGCTGTAATACCAGCAAGGCCACACGAGGGAAAGAAGGTGCTGGCCAACCCCCAGCTGCTCCAGCTCTAGCCCTCAGCTGCCTGCAGCCACCTCCAAGACCCTCAGCCAGAACTGCCCAGCTGAGCCCTTCCCACATTCCTAACTCATAGAAACTAGGAGAGATAATAAACCAATTGTTTGAAGCCACTAAGCTGTGGGGTGATTTGTTACACAGTGACAGTAATTGGGACATCATAAAACAGTTTTTTATTTTTTTATTATTTTTTTAAAAGATGACCGGTAAGGGGATCTTAACCCTTGACTTGGTGTTGTCAACACCCCGCTCAGCCAGTGAGCAAACCGGCCATCCCTATATAGGATCCGAACCCGTGGCCTTGGTGTTATCAGCACCGCACTCTCCCGAGTGAGCCACGGGCCGGCCTATAAAACAGTTTTTTAAATGACATGTATCTAGTTAAACTAACATAGAAAGAGCTTTCGAACATTGTTGAGCACAGAAAAGCAAACTGCACGATGAAATGTCAAGCAAGATGCCATTTTGGGGGCATACACACTGAACCCCTGATATTTTAGTCTGGATCTCAAGTTTAGAGAAAGGTCTGTCAGGACTCCCCCCAAACACACTACACCTTGAATTTCTGTGATCTCTGGCAATGGGGGTGGGCAGGATAGAGTTGGAAGCTTCTCCAAGCTGACAAGGTCCTGGTTACCTGTCCATTTTAAAAACCTCTTGGGCTGGCCATTACCTCAGTTGATTAGAG